CTCTCTCTCACTCTCTCTCACTCTCTCGCTCTCACTCTCTCGCTCTCACACACACACACACAGACACAAACACACACACACTGCCGTAGTGTTTAATCATGTATCAGTGTTGTGTAGTATGTGCAGAGACAACATGTGCCTCCCACAGACACTGATGTAGTGTTTTATCGTATAAATCTCTGCTGTGTATGTGCAGATACAACACGCGTCACACACACTACTGCAGTGTTAAATCATGTATGTCTGTGTTGTGTAGTATGCAGATACAACATGTGTCTAACATGTGTCACAAACACACACACACACACACACACACACACTTCTGTAGTGTTTAATCATGTACCTCTGTGCTGTATTTGTGCAGATGCAACACGCGTCACACTCACTGCTGTTGTGTTTAATCGTGTATCTCTGTGCTGTGTACGTGCAGGTACAACACCCGCCACGTGGCCCTGAAGGTGGCCTACCTGGGCTGGGACTATCACGGCTTCGTTGTGCAGGAGGACTCGGACAAGACGGTGGAGGCTGCGCTCTTCGAAGCTCTGATCAAGACGCGACTCATTGAGTCCAGGTGAGTGCATTGTTTTGTGTGTCCCTCCAGTGACTATTTCTGTGTGTGCATCAGAGTATGTATGTGTGTATTTGAGGGAGAGAGAGAGAGGGGGGTGTGTGTATTTGTGTATGCATACGTGTTTACCTTACGACAGAAAATTTCTCTTTTGTCGAGATCAATAAACTTCTATCTATCTTTCTATCTATCGTATGATCAAGGCTTCCTGAAAATTATCAATTATTCTGTCAATATGACTGTGGAGCAGGAGCACAGTCAAACTTGTTCTAACAACTTGTCCAAAACAATCACTTCCCTCTTTGAGGTGTGGGGGGTTGGCGGTTGCTCTGGTGTGGTTTGCTTCTTCTTTCCTATCGAACATCTACCGTCCTTATCTCCCCTTCTTCTTTTTTATGTTTGTTGCTCTCTTGTAACAGCTCTATTCTTCTGGCGCTCATATGACCTTATATGCAGTTGCGAGCGCCGTAAAACCTCTACTAAGACTAACCTCCTTGAGGATTTGCTACACACTGTAATGACACTCTCTAAGACGTCCATCCTCCTCCTGGACAGTGTGTGGTCATCTGGGACAAGTTGGACCATTACCTAGTTTGTTTCCTTTGTTGTGTTCCAGAGAGACGTCCAACTACCACCGCTGTGGCCGCACAGACAAGGGGGTCAGTGCTCTGGGTCAGGTGAGTCTGTTTCTGCTAGTGATCGACCTGCTCAGGTCATTGGAAATATTTTTGCCTCAGCGTGATGGAATCAGGCATATATCAAATGTTGGGTAGATGGAGTTATTGGTATAATCTTAAAGCTGTTCACATGCCTTGTTTTAAAAAAAAATTTAAAAAATACCAGTCTATCATTAACAGAAGCTTCTTTCTGCCTAAACAAAGAACAAACAAATTTGAACCAATGAAAGTGTGTCAAAAAAACATGCCACGACATTATGATGTTAAAAAAAACTTTTTAAACATACCACCTCATTCTGATGTATTAAATGTTTCCTTTTCCCACAGGTCATCTCTATTGACTTGAGGACAAACCTTCTGAAGGGCGTGGGGGTCAAAGTTCGTGAAGGAGGCACAGCCGAATCACGAGAAGGTTGGTCATAGTCATAGCCAGATGGCTGGCCAAGTTTTAAATTCCATGACGCTTTAACTTTTTCAAAATATTTTGTGAAAAGACAAATGGAGTTTACCTTGATTTCAACATCTTTAATTCCAGTCTTAAAGGTAATCCAAAATTATTCTGAAATATCCATTGAATTTTTTTTAAAGCGGATAACTTACAGTACAAATCTATTTGCGCTATTTATTTATGTTTTCCTCTTTGAAAATTTGTCATTTTGCAGAGGCATTTTTTTTTTTTTTATGATACAGTTGAAATTGACATTTTGGAGGAGAAAAATGGTTGCCTTTGACAAGTGGATATCTTATAATGTGAGATCATTGTAATGCACAAAAGGGCAATGGGTTTATCGGAAGTGGCTGTTTGTACAAGGAACTGTCTTGTACAGGTGTCGGTCAGAAAGCAGGTTTGAGGAATTGTCTTATACAGGTGTCCGTCAGATTGTCTTATACAGGTAGCCATCAGAGAGCAGGTTTCTCTAGTTTCCTTTTGTACTCCCCAGGGGACAAAACCACCGAGGTCCGCTATGTCCACATCCTCAACAAAGTTCTGCCCCCTGAGATCCGAGTGCTGGCATGGGCTCCGGTTGACCCAGGGTTCAGTGCCAGGTGAGTTGTTTGTTGTTTGTCAGGTGTTGATGGATGTTGGCTGGTCCAGTGGGTGGTTGGAGGGTGTCATCACCTGTAGGTCTTTCTTCTTTTCTTGTTTTTCTGTTATGTCCATCCGTCTGGTTTGCTCTCTCTGAGTGTTAAATGACCATTAGGTCCTACTTTTCTTTCCCTCTGTTGTTTCTGTCTGTCGGTTTTACTCTTTCTGTCTGTCTTACCCGTTCCATGCATTAAACGACCATTATTGTATTAATATTGTCGATCTCTGTAATGGGTCAAACAAACAAATTCTGAAAGTATGCTTTTTTTTATTAACGGATGGTTGGAGGGTGCCACTTACTTGTCTTTCTTTTCTTTCCCTTTTTTGTTTCTGTCAGCCAGTCTGTTTTGTTTGGGTTTTTTAAATTCTAGCTCTGAATGGTAATTATTGTGATGATGTGTTTCTCTGTACTTGATTCAGGGAAGACAACTGAATGTGCGCGATTGTTTTGTCTAATAAAGCTTGTTTTCTCTGTCCTCAGATTCAGCTGTAAAAAGAGAACCTACAAGTATTATTTCCCCAAAGGAAACCTCAACATTCAGGTATTTTGTTGTTTTTCGTCATGTACTTCCTCAAGTTACAAACAAGTTTTTCCTGCACTAAATGACCATGGGTGGTTGTCAGGTGCTCTGGTGTAGTTTACTCTCTCTTTCCTATCAAACGCCTTTCAGTCTTTATCTCTCCTTTTTTTCTGTGCTTATTACTCTCTAATGATACCTCCATTCTTTGGCACTTATTTGACCTATTTGTGTTGCAAGTACTATTAATCTTGTACTTAAGCAAACTGAAACTAAAGTAAATGGCCGACTTTGAGTCGATTTGCTTCTCTTTAATCAAACAAGTAAAACTTTATTTCACTGACACCTTAGCCCCTGAAGCCGCTAACCGACAGTTAGATTGATCTGTTTGTTCATTGTCATTGACCTGTTTGTTTCCTTCCGTCAGAAAATGTCGGAGGCCGCGGTGAAGCTGGTGGGAGAGCACGACTTCCGAAACTTTTGTAAGATGGACGTCGGGAACGGAGTGGTCAACTTCACACGCAAAATTCTCAAGGCGGAAGTGGCCGTGTTGGATGAGATGTGAGTTATACTGTGTGTTTATGTGTGTGCGTGCCTGTGTGTGTAGGGAGGGGGGCTATAAATGCAATCCGTTACAGTTATTCTTATTTTTGTTATTTCTCTTATGTGACATAGTTATTCAGTTCCTGGTCACTGCTGTGATATTTTCTGTCAGATCATCAGAAAGGGGCTGTTCATTTCAAACAGTAGAATATAACTTTTTATAAATGGAACCATTGCATGGTTACACGAGAAATAGGAAGTTGAAAGAAAACTGACAGGTGGTTGAAGTGTGCCACTGATGAGTCCTACTTTCTTTTCCTGTTATATTTCTGTCTGTCTTTCTTGCTTTTCCCAGTGATATTTCATTACCCTAAAATTACAAAGTTCTGTTTGCTCAGTACCTAGTTTTGAGAAATTTGAGGTAAAAAATTTAGATATTCACATGTCAAGCTTTTTGGAATGTAGTTCTTTGAATATCTTGATAATAACTCTGAATAGTCATACAACTTTGGTAGAGGAGATAAAACATCTAGTTTCTGACCTCATGGTCTTTATAAGTCAAAATGGCAAAGAAATGTGAACTTTGTAATAATTCTAAGATAGCGATTTGTTTTAACATCATTTTAAAAATGTATTTTTGGTTCTATTCAAAACAATGTTAAGTTATACAATGAATAGAATATGAATAAGAATTAAGACTTGATTGTTAGAGATGTATGACCTGTCTCTGTCTTTTGTTGAGACATTTTATGTTTGTTTGGGTTTCAGAGAGAACGGTTTCTCCATGTGTGAGCTGACGGTGGTGGGCCAGGCCTTTCTGTGGCATCAGATCCGCTGTATCGTCTCGGTGCTGTTCCTAGTGGCTCAGGGGAAGGAGTCGCTCGAGGTAAGTCACTCACATACGGC